TACTCTCAATACTCACCTCATCAACCCCACACCCCACCCAAATGAGATCTTGGGGCAGAATATGGGCTTGCTTTTCATTCAATAGCACGCAGTAGATTTTATTACAGGGAATCAATCCCAAGCTACCCACCCAGCCCTTCTGTTTGCTGCTGACAAGGAAAAAAATTCTGTCCCACTAAGTCACTTTTCAATCTGGCAGGATGTGTTTAATCTAGAAAGAAGATGAACATGAGCGTACGTAATGAGTACACCTATAACACAGAGTGACTTTTTCAATGGCCCCATGGGATTACAATCTCCCAGTGGAGAAAACCAAGCTTAGGGATCAAGTTCATTGAGCTACTACTGATTTTGCCTCTCTTAGGAATAGGGCATCCCAGTGGAGAAAATAAAGCCCAGGGATCCAATTCAGGAAGCTACTACTGCTTTTGCTTCTTTTAGTAATGGGCCATCTTAAAAGAGACCTGCAGCCCTTCTAGACAGGCCAAAAACCTGAGATATTGGTGGTGAGGTGTGGGCAGATTTCCTCCAGTGCTAAACCAGCATTGGCACGGGGGGGGGGGGGGGGGGGGGGGGGGGGGAGGCGTATGACCACTGTCTGCCTGCTCTTTCTAAGGTTGGAGGCTTGAAAGCACTTTGTGCCTCCTGAAAATGATACAACTTAAGTTTTTAGTGAGGAATTCTCGCCTCCCCTTTTGAAGGTTTCAATGCATCATTTCCTGGTGCAACTTTGAAGCCTACAGCCTTAGTAAATATTTAATTTTATGTTGTTTAAAGGTAAGAAGGGGGTGAGGGAGGGAGGCTGGTATTGCCATTGCTCTTTTGTGGGTTGCTTGAACCCACAGAAACAGGATCGCTGTGGAGACTGCTCCTGAATTCATGGATGTCCATCTCAGGAGCAGTCTCCATACACCCCACATCAGAAAAACTCCGGACGTTAATGAAAGATCTGGATCTTTGCAAAAAAAAAATCATTGTAAACCTGGAAATCCAGGTTAAATTGTATTAGCCTCAGGTGACATTTGGACTTTAGGCCTGTATAGATGGGCCCTCAGTAGTTCCTCTATCTTTCAGTTATGCTCCGCATCTCACTGTGGAACCAAGTGATAAGGTCAGTTTATGCACTTCGTAAAATCAAATGGAAAATCTTTCAAAGGACGGTATCACATGAACCTGCTATTTTACTATGAGCTATAGGTTGAGCCCCTTCAATACTGCACCTGTCTTCATTTCCACCATTGTGCCAATTCACTAAGTCATGATCCCACCATTGTATTTTTGCATACTTGTGTAACTCTGCCTTCCCACACGGCAGTTGTTTGTTAGTTTATTATGAATATATTATGATGATTATTATTATACAGTTGCACAATTCTAGCATTTAAAAACACAAAAGAGCCAAAATATGTATAAAATAAAAAGGAAAACAGCCAGCCTGGGAATAGCGAGAGGGAGAGAAGGAGAATCTCTGCCTCTGATGTCACTTTACGGTTAGCACAGAAGCAGAAGAAACCCACTGCACAAAAGTAAGAGATAGCAATCTTGCAGGAGCTATCAACAGGTTTTGTCTATTAATAGCTAGGATCGTGGAAGGCAGAAAGACCTCACAGCATCGGCCAATAGGGACTATTGGTGACAATCCGGCTACAATGCCAGTGAGCCTCTTGTGTGATAGCCCATAGACATATTAAAGTGCAGATGACAGGAATCATGTCTGACCATCCCCAATTAAAATCAATAGACTTCACAATAGTTTATACTGCAGATGACAGGAATCATGTTTGACCATATCCAATTTTTTAAAAACAACAACAAAAAACACATTTTGATACATACCACGGAAAAGGATTAAATATAATAATCATATGAGATTGTTGTTGTCATTGTTGTTGTTTTTCAGGGAAATTTTGTCTTATAGAATAGCATTCAAAAGTGCAATTTCTCCCACTTGCAGCATAAAGTAGTAAAGTCAAGGAAAAGCTTTACCACTTGATATTGTGAAATGTATAAAAGAATTCTGTAACATATCAGTAGGGATAAACCAAATGTTTAGGGCATCAGTAAGAAACAGAGATAGCAAATGTAATTCTTAGATATATTATGCAGGGGTCTGCTATGCAGAACAAAGAATCATTCAGAGCATTAGTAAGTGGAGTACATTTACCATTATATATATTCAAATTCTAGTCCACTTGGAATGCTCTTGAAAGATCATTCTAAATAGACTACACACACTGAGAGTAGTACTCATTTCTAAATAGACTGTGGGAACAAGGGGTAAGAGATTCAAATACATTAATGGGTCAAAATGGTCACAAACAGGGTTTATTCTGTAGTCTAATTGCTCTATTAATTGCACATAACTATGCTACATAGTAATCTCAGTGTAATTTCACTTACATTGCCATGGCTCTGCTCCACTGATACTTGGGATTTATAGTTTTCTCGGGTATTTTCTCTCAACAAAAGCTCCAATGCTTAGTGCAAGGGGAAAGAATAGAGCTCTCCAACAGAATACCCGAAGTTCCTCCACAAAACTTCAAATTCCAGAGTGTCATAGACTGAAGCCATGTCAGTTAAAGCCTTATCAAGCTGCAATTCCTTTTTAATGCAAATACACTCATATTCAGATAATGTAGACTATGAGATATGGGTGATCAGTGCTCTAGCCAAGTGAGGAGCTATGTTATCTTTGCTCCTATGCAGTTCTATAAATCTCTAAAAAAAAACAGTTTTGAAATTGGAGCGTTGTGTGATTTCCAGGCTATAGGGCTGTGTTCTAGAACATGGCTATACAGCCCAGAAACCACACAACACTCCAGTGATTCCAGCCATGAATGCCTTTGACAATACAATTTTGAAATGCTTGTCTGTATCACAGGTTCAGTGCTGACAGCATTATTCTAATGAATCCATGCATATATTACCAAGTGTGATAATATATGAGGATAGCCTGGATTTTTCTTTTCCAAAACCATAATTAAACGTCTTCAAAATTCCCTACTGAATATGGTTGCCTTCTATGTTTAAGTACAGAAATGCTAGTCAAAAATTCAGCCCAAAACACATGGGTCAAATTATCCCCTGGTCAATGTGAGTACTGTACTTATAATAAGAGTACTGTAACTCTTATTTTTTTAAAAAGAAACCATACCCTTCTTTGAGAAAAGTGGTGCAAGGCAAGAGCTTAGTTCATCCTGAGAGAACCTAAAAGAAGCACTGACCCACCCACCTCGCCTCTACTCTCTCCATCATTGTGCTGCTTCTGGCCTTTTTGAATGCCTGGGCAGGGAAACAGGAATCTTGGTGTTGTTTCATCTACACAGAATGATGTATGGCTTGTATCAATATCCACAATTTTGGCCCTTGAATTTGCCCAACTTGTACATGAGATCAACTTGGCACAGCGGGTTAAACTGCTGAACTGGCTGACTGAAAGGTTGGTGGTCCAAATCTGAGGAGTGGGGTGAGCTTCTGCTGTTAGCCCCAGCTTCTACCAACCTAACAGCTCAAAAACATGTAAATGTGAGTAGAGCAATACGTATTGCTCCGACAGGAAGGTAATAGTGCTCCATGCAGTCATGCCAGGCACATGATTAGGAGGCATCTACGGACAACGCTGGCTCTTCGGATTAGCCACCCCCAGAGTGGGACACGACTAGACTTAAAGAGTCCCTCTCGGGGTGAGAAAAGCAGTATTTACAAATACTGTAAATAAATAAATAATGTCAAGGGGAAACCTTTATCTTTACCTATGTCAGGTAGGTCAAACCCGTTCAAATTCCTTTCTCCAGGGCTCTGAAAAATAGCTTAAAACTAAGATGCTGCCCAGAAAGTTGGAAAAACACCTTATCTAGGTGAAAGAGTTTTATTTCCATAAAAATGTCTAATTTTATGTTAATTTCTTGCTATCTGGGAATTTTTCAGAAGAACATGCCCAGTGTGGTTTGATTCTAAGTGATGTAATGCTATCTTTTCACTGTTTTTTCACAAGAGTTTTATGTAAATACAGAAAGGTTATAAATTCCTGTTCAGGTTCACATGCTTTAGACAAAAACCAGACTTCGAAGAACTATTTTCCAGCTTTTTCTCCATTTTGCAAAATGACAAATCAAAAGCTGTGGTTGATTTCCAATGTTTGGAGTTTTCAAATTCAAAAATCACAATAGCAGAATGAATCTTTTGCCAGAAAGCTGATTTTACATATCTTGCATCCTAGGTTTTGAGAGATTTCCCTATGCATAATCTTGTAATTTTTCATGGCATTTACAATTCCAGACACATGAGATTAGATCATCTTCATTTCCTAACATTAAAATAAGGCAAAGCAAACTATCATTCTCAAGGATTGTGAGGGAGGAGGATTATGAGGCCTGTTATAATGCTGTGGGCTCACTCCTTCCTCTCTAATTAAGCTGCAGTTTCCACAATTTTTTCACTGGCTGTACTTTATTCATGTTACATATATTTAGTTCTTTAATGGACTAATCTCGAGAGTCACTGCACTGGCAAACTGCATATTTGAGATGTAACATAATGATTGCCAGGCTAATAAAATGTCAGTCCTATGGCCAGGATGATCATCACCAGATATTTTACAGCACCATAATGGGCAGTATTTAGATAGGGAAAAGCAATAGAAGATAAGCATATTCATTACATAGGCATCCTAAAAGCAAACAGCCAAGTAAACAGGCACAAAGTATGGCACCAATGAGACAGGTGGAATTCTGCATGCCCTATATTTCATAAAAGCCTTTTCAGGTAGGACTGGAAATGACAGAAACTATGACAACCCAAGGACAAGAAATGTTTTGCTGAGCAAAGATGGTATTTGTTGCAGCATATTTTCTTACATGTATCCAAATAGTCAGGACTCTAATTTTTCAGCGAAAACCCAGTCCTATAGCAGCTTTATCAATGACATGTTCATGTGTAAATAAGTAAGCTATTTCTACATTTCGTTCTCACAGTCTGAATTGAACAAAGCTATAATTTACCTTATCTGCCATGATCATGGAAGAGCCTCCATGGATACCTAGGATGGGTGTGAGGGTCTGGGCAGAAATGAAGTCCAGGATCTGGGCAATGGCTTCCTGGTCCGTATCATCAGCAAACACCACACCTTGAACCCTCCGGTCAGACATGATATCACAGATGCGGGTGATGATGCTCTTGGGATCTGTCTCATTCATGGCCACCAGTTCCACGCGAGGCACGAGAGAGAGGTGGTGGAAGTCATCTTTCTTGTGGGCATCTGTGATAGCTACTTCGTCAGAGGTGCCCACCAAGATGACTGCAATGCCAATGCTGGGGTGGTTCTTTTGGGCCCAGATCCCACCACCTGTTGTTGCTAAGACAGCCAGCATAAGCCAGAACTTTGAAGAGTAGCACTCTGCTCTGGGCCTCATCTTCAGCTCTTGCACTCCCTACAAAAACAAAAATAGAAAGAAATCAGCAATGTATCTATATAAAGTGACAGACCGACATGGCACTCCATTAGTCAACATACCTGATCACAACAGTGAAACTAAAAGAAAACTGGTTCATGTAGCTTAGCACTGTCTCCTTTGAGTGGGAGAGACTTTTCAGGAGACTTGGAGGAGCATAGTATCAATCATATTCCCTGAGCTTTTTAAAATGGGAAATGTGAGGAAGTAAACCAAGACATTCCACACGAAATGTATGTACACTATCAACCTCCCCTATAATCTGGTATCCCCGGCGGCACAGTGGGTTAAACTCCTGTGCCGACATGACTGAAAACCGACAGGTCGCAGGTTTGAATCCGGGGAGAGGCAGATGAGCTCCCTCTATCAGCTCCAGCTCCTTATGCGGGGACATGAGAGAAGCCTCCCACAAGGATGATAAAAACATCAAATCATCCAGGTGTCCCCTGGGCAACGTCCTTGAAGACTGCCAATTCTCTCACACCAGAAGCGACTTGCAGTTTCTCAAGTCGCTCCTGACACAACAAAAAAAGAATTCCAAACTGAAGCTCATTATTTCTACTTGTTCTTCAAAATTAGTGCTGGGGGGCTCACTTTACCTTGCACTTTATGTGAACAGGAAAGGAGTATTAAATTATAATTGTAGAAACATTTAGTGATTATATTGCAATAATTACAGGGTTTTTGTTTTTTTAAAATCTCAGTATCACTACAAAAACAGAAGTCCGCGGTTGAAGGTTTCTGGGAGTTCAAACAAGTAACTTTTCCAATGCTGTGACAATTGAAAGTTTATAATTCCCATGTAATACATTCCACGAATGCCTGAGATTTAAAAAAAGTATTAGTCTTTAAAATGGCACTGGACACTTTGTTTTTCTCCCTGCACCAGGCAAAAGCATTTGTTGTTGTTTTTTTATAAACTTTTACTAATGATGAAGCACTACTGTTTTCTGAAGTATATTTGAAATTAGTTACTTTAGACTTTTGCTTAGCCACCATCTATCTGTTACACTCTACTAGTGTCAGACTATAATCCCACTTTTTAGGAGTATAGAAGTTGACCTCCAGATCATCTAAAGTAGCAGTTACCAAACTAAGGTTCTGCAAAAGCATTGTAGAGGTTTCACAAAAAATATTTTAAATATTTTTAAAAATCTTTTTTAATGCGTGCTGGAGAACGAAGAACATTTTGAAATTCAATGTATCTCTGCTTTAAAAATGAAATTTCAATCTCTGCTAGTGAATTACTATTGGATAGGACTGATAGACATGTAGCTGTCAATAGCTGGAAAGGCTATCTGAGCAATGATCCCCTTCATATCCACCTTTCAATGCAAAACAGGCTTTTTTAGCTTATTCTTACACCAAAACCAAATTCTGAAATAAGTGGGATACTACCCGGGGTTTATGTACCATGTATACTTGAGTATAAGCCGACTCAAATATAAGCTGGGGCATCTAATTTTGCCACAAAAAACTGGGAAAATATATTGACTCAAGTATAAGCTGAGGGTGGGAAATGCAGTAGCAACTGTTAAATTTCAAAATAAAAATAGATAGTGATAAAATTACATGACATGAGGCATCAGTACGTTAAATGTTTTTGGATATTTACATAAAACTGTCATTTAAGATAAGTCTGTCCAACTCTGATTAAACCATGATTCTAACCATCTTCAATGTAAATGTGCTGACGTATCTTTCCAATAATAATAGAGTAAAAAAAATATAATAATAGAGTAAAATAATAAATGTAATAAAATAATAGAATAAAATAATGTAAATGTAATAATAATAAATAGAGTAAATAATAAATGTAATTTATTTATTTATATACTATATTTATATACTGCCCCTCTCAGCCCGCAGGTTACTCAGGACAGTTTACAGTCAGCACCAAAACCATAAAATACAATTACAAACATTAATATAAATATAAAACCAAGCAAAAGCAATAAAAACATGTATCATTGGGGTCTCCTTGTTAAAAACATTGTCCAGTCACATTGTCCAGTTGTTCCATTTTCCTATGTCTGTTACACTGCTTTTGCAAACGCTGGCTCAAAAAGCCAAGTCTTGAAATTTTTTTGGAATGTTAAAAGGGAAGGGGCCGAACTGATATCCCTGGTAAAAATAATAATAATAATAACAGAGTAAAATAATAAATAACTTGACTCAAGTATAAGCCGAGGGGGGCTTTTTCAGTCTTAAAAAAAATCTGAAAAACTCAGCTTATACTCAACTATATACAGTATTCAGCTGTCAGACATACAATCCAATTTCAAACTATTTTAAGTACAAAAATGAAACAATTTCTGTCATCACTTGAGATGTGAATCCAATACTTTTCAGCAACAAAATAAATGTTTTCTCTTTATTTCCAAACCTACTGCATTATACAAAACACTCAGGCAATGGTAGATGAAAGAAGGAAGAACTTTGTGAGTTCGTATTGCTTAGGAACAGAGTTAGATATACAGTTAGGGTTCCACAGGGAGGGAAAGCTGGTTGTATGACCAAAAAGATTTGGGAACCACTGATCTAGAGGACATCAGATTGAGGGAAGATAGTCTCATAGATTATGCCTGAATGCATGCACATCTTACACCAATTTTTCTAAAACAATTACTTAGCACTTCCATATCCCCATGAAAAGAATATAAAAACAGAATATAAGGAGCCAGGTCATTTTACCGTCAGTTTGTCCAGATCAAATTGTGGCATTTGGATTCTACCTGTATTTATATGACGAAAAAAGTATTCCTTATAAAGGCAAGTCCAATGTCAAGCATTGGTAACCTTTTGCCAATAATGATTTCATGTGTAAAACAATATCAGTTTTCAGGCTTCACAGCTAACTGGTAATCTTCCTTCCCAGCTTTTCTCTCCCTTACTATCTTTGCTCCCAATGCAGACGACTAGTAGCCTTTGACAAATTTCTGAGTCAGTCCCTTGCTTGCTTCCTTTTCTAAGACAAAAATGATGAAGAAGACCTATGAGGTCATCACTGCCACCCTACTAGTACCAGATTACTCCCTACAGGATACTTTAATGTGTCTTTTTAAAATAACACTGAGCTTGTTTCATCTGCAAAGCATTTCACAAGCAGCAACTAATTAATTCTCACAGCAACTCAGTACGGTACATGTCACTATCACTGTTTTCCCAGTCTAAAAACCATAGCAGTAAGGTTTCCCCTGTGGTCCCAGAGGCAAAAATAGAAATATTTAGATATCTAGTCTTGTGCTTAAACCACAGGTGCCATGTTACTCACCCATTTACTAAGAACAACTAAAATAATTGCCATTCAAATCCATGATCTGACCAATCTCTCATTCTATCCAGTGCGATCAATTAAACATATCAAATGCTGGGGCATTCAATAGATTGCACTAAATTCACTTTTGAGTTTCTGTGCCAGTCATTAACTGAAAAAAACTCAAGTGAAGATGTAGAATGTTTTGTTTTAATTACCTAGTCCCATACCGATTTTATCATGACATCCTAGATAAATATCATTAGCCATAGTAACAAATCACCAAATATATAGATGGGAATAAAGTAACTGCCAGGGCAAAATCCTTAGAGAGTGGATAATTTAACATGGTTATGTGTTGTACTAGGCTTTCATGGCCAGAATCACTTGTGAGTTTTCCAGGCTGTATTACCATGTTCCAGAAGTATTCTCTCCTGACGTTTTGCCCACATGTATGGCAGGCATCCTCAGAGGTTGTGAGGTCTGTTGGAAACTAAGAAAGTGAGTTTATATCTGTGGAATATCCAGGGTGGGAGAAAGAATTCTTGTATGCTTGAGACAAGTGTGAATGTTGCCTGGTTGATTGCTGCCCGAGAATGCCTGTCATAGATGTGGGCGAAACATCAGGAGAGAATGTTTCTGGAAAATGGCCATCGAGCCAGAAAACTCACAGCGACCCATGGCTTTTTATGTTGCACTTGTTCTTAACAGAACTAAAAAAGGCTGACCATACTTTCATCTGTGAAATGTTTTAACTATCATTTATATTAGCATGACTTTATTAAAGACTGCTATTGTTTCAGTGGTATTGAAATTACACATAGTACCCATTACTTTCGATTTGCTTTTCACTGCACTATCTGACCACACACACTGTCCTACTATTAAGAAGCAAAAACAAATACAAATATAATTACAGTCCATAAAGGGAACCAAAAATCCTTCAAAGCTGAAATGAACGAGAGTGTGAAATGTTCATTGATTTTTGCTGCTCTGACCAAGAATATTGAGAATTTGACAGAATTAATTCCCAACTTATTTGTAAAACTTTTTGCCCTCCAATTTCAAGTCCATAAAATTAGGCTCTTTTATAAAGAAAAGGCAGTCCTCACTGTTGTGACAGCTTAATGCACTCTTAACAGGCTTCTTTGCATAGTTTAATGTTATTTTTTGTTGTTCTCCTATATCACCCTGACTATTTTAAATGCATTACACTTTGTTAGTGAACAGCCAATAACGATCTCCACAACATATCTCTACTAAAGTATTCCATAAAGAAGGAACATTGATTCTTCCACTCCAAAATTGTATGAATCTATACAGCAGGTCTGCTTAACATACTCCCTACTCTCTTTCCATGCACAGTTGAAATTCCCATAAAGGATATTCAATTAATACCCCAAATACAAGACACAGAGTTTAAAAACAACTATTGCAGAACTAGATACTTATAATATATTCCTCTGTGTAAACTACAAGAAATTTAAGTGGCTGCAAGTTAAAGATTACACAATTAACCTAAGTATTTTTTGCTCAGGGTCACTTGAATTTCATGGAACTTAATGTGTTAGATAGGAAGGAATGAAGCTTGTGCCCCAAAGGTTGAGATGGTGACAAATAGAGCTCTATGTGTCCATGCAGATTTCTTTGTGTGAAGCCACTGTATCCACATGAGAAAGTACTTACTCAGCATGAGTGCAAATGAAACCAAGTGTAATAGATC